TATTGGATATAGTTGTATATCTTGATTATGTAAATGTGATGTAGCGAATGAGATAATGATTCGAATGTTTAAGAGAAGATAAAGAGTAATAGAAAAGTTTGAGAATGAGTATGTCGGTGAACAGTTTATAAGACAAAGGAAGTTACAACATTAGATTTTGAAACTGAGGAATAATACTGTGTGTGAGTAAGAGTCCGAGTTTGAAAAGTTGAGTAAGATATCGTTGAGGAAAATTTTGATTGAAAAGAAGGTATATGATTGATTTGATAAAGGGTTATACCCTAGATTAAAAACTTAAGGATTGCGTTCAAAAAATTGAATGTGCAACCGGATAATGTTAGAGGATCTCCACTATTCTAAAGTGGAAAAGTTATATGAAATAATTTAGTTGCTAAGTGGTTGAGCTAAAATATGGTAAACAAATGTTATAATGGGAATAATGGAAGATTTATTGATGTGAATATTGTTTCGGAAAGAGTTTAAGAAATAAGTACGTCGGTGATTATTTTATAAGATAAAAGACGTTGAATTGTTGAGTGTGAACAAAGAAAATTTCATGGTGCATGAGAATGAATGTGGATTTGATAAGTTAAGCAAACTATTGTTGAGATAATTCTAATAGGAAAAAAAAAGGTATATGCTTAACTGATTGGGGTCTGTTCCCTAGATTGAACAGTTGATATTTACTAACTGTAATAGTAAAGGTGATAGAGTTATAAGATTGGAAGAAAAGATAAAGTGAGTTAATTAAGTATGATATGGATTTGAATATAGTTATGTATTTGGATCATATAGATATGATAAAGGCGAAGAGAGATGAGTATTTACAAGTTTTAAAGAGAGCTTTGAGGAAGAAAAATACATGTACAAGAGATGGTGAAGAATAAGATTCTGTATCAGTAAAGTTGATTATCAAAGTTATAAAGATGTGATAAATATCAGTGATTAGAGATGAGTATAAGTGATAGGAAAAGAGTATGTGAACATGAATTAAAAGATATGACCTATGTATAAGGAGATTTTGATTTTTAAGAAATAATGGAATAAATAAATGAAAGGATGAAGTATAAAGGATCAAATGTGATAAAGTTATATGAAAGTTTAGATGATAAGTTCAGTATAGAAGTATGAAAAGTGTGCAAGGTAATGTGAAAGATTGTTTGATTCCGTAAAGTTTATGTTTAATCACAATTGAAGAAGATGTAAGGTTGTGTTCTTGGTCAAATGATGATGGAATAAAAGTTTGGTTATTGTTGCAAGGTAATTAAAATTTATGAGGAATTTGATTGATTTATGATGTTAAGTGATGAAAATGAATGTTATTGTCTACGTGATGAGTGACATTATATGAATTTTAGAAAGATCAAAGGAAAATGTAGAATCGAAGGAGAGAAAAAATAGAAATGGATGATGTTACTGGTTACTGTTTATATGATAAGCGACAATAGATAAATGAAAAAAAATTAGTTGAAGAACTAAAGGAAGGAAAAATTAAATAAAGGAAACAACATGAGAACATTAGAAGATATATTCTTATTAATGTGTGCAATGAAAATTCGATGACGAATTTTTTTAAAAGAAGGGGAGATTTGTAACAACCCAAACTACGGGTTAGTGACTAAATTGTAAAATTTTAGAATTTGGGGATAAAAGTAGAATAGTTGAATAGTTTAATGATTTATGTGGAGATACTTCCTGAAAGTTGTTAGTAATTATTAAAAGAATAAAAGGGCAAAATGGTCATTTGACTTGGAAATTATAAAAAATGATATATATGTAGGCGGGGATAAGGATGGGGAGATATTTTCTCCACTTCATCTTTTTCTTCTTCTTCTTCATGTACGAGAGAAAGAGAGAGCCAAGCTTGCAAAGGTAAGTTTTCTAATTTGTTGATTTTTTTTTATTTAAAGGTTGGGTTTTGATCATTTAGATGATAACTAAGCTTAAGAAAAGCTTAAGTTATCTTAAAATCAAAAGATTAAGAAGTTATGAAAGATTAAAGAAAATGGGTTTTTAAGTGAATTTTTGGAAAAGAGTTGATAAGTTGAATTTAAAATTAAATTTGACTTGTCGTCAACTTAATTAAGAGATATAAAGTGATAGAATTGGATGTAGAACATCTTGAAAATTTGGTATGATTATTGATTTCTATATGAAAGATGGAATTTTGAGATTAAAGATGAGATAAATGGATATAAATGAGTTTAAGCATGTGTAAGTGAGTTAAGGATATAAAATGAGTTGAAATATGGCACAATTAAATTAGAAGGAAGTAATTTACGTGCATAAATGAGAATTTTGGACTAGTGTGCATCGGTACACATTCAACATGTACCGATGCATCAAGGGTAAATTTCAAGAAATTATTCAGTGTTTATCGATGCACATAGGTAGGCATCGATGTATGGGAAATATATGTGAAAAGATATGATATATATCTATATATATGTTTATGTGATTACATGCAAAAGTGATATGAACTATGTGACGTATAAATATGAAATGAATGCGTGGCAATGGGATATGAAAATATACAAGAAAATCATATGATATAAGATCAATGATTACACGTATATGTGGTACGTGACAGAAAAGAAGAAAATATTTGATCATATGAAATGTGATAAAGAGTTATGTGAAATAATGATGTGATGTGAATGTGTGAATATGTAAAGTGATAAGTATAAAAATAATGCCCATGTTATGTGATATGAGATCTAGGGGTATAGTTGGCATGCCAAGGGTCGAGGGTTACCTATGTTCTTCGGGACATATGGATTGTTTACCTATGTTCTTCGGGACATACGGACTGTTTACCTATGTTCTTCGGGATATATGGATTGTTTACCTATGTTCTTCGGAACATATGGACTGATTACCTAGATTCTTCGGGATCTATGGACTGGTCCTTCGGGACAAATTTCATATGCCACGCAATAGGACTTATACGAGCTGTGGTGACAGCATAAGTGCACAACCTCAATTTACTCAAATACCTTAAGTTCTCAGTAATGTGCATGGGCTTATAAAAGGTTATCAAAGGTAATTACATAATTATATGATGTTATATGGGTTTCTTTGTGATATGATAAATGTGTTATATGATATACAAAAATGATAATTACAAGAACATATGATAAATAGAGATTATGATAATGATGGTACATGTGCATGTATGCATTTTGATATATGAAATGTTTTATGGTTTTATTATATGTTTATATGCCTCGCTAAGTCATAGACTTAGAGTGTGATTGTTTCATACGTAGGTTCTGATAAGAGGAAGAATGATAAAAGTTAAGCAAGACAGGTCAGTTCTCCTTTCCAAAGATCATATTAGAAAAGTATTAAATAGTATGTATTTTGTAATAATGATAGTGGTTGGCATGTAATAAAGATTTGAATATGATATGCTCTAATTGGTTTGTAAAATCATATGAATGAGTTTTTTAATGTTTTAAACATGTATATGTAAATGGTAATTTTAATACAAATGAAAACTTAGATTTTTATGAATTTATACGTATTTTGTCGAAAGTGACTGTAGCAGTGCATCGATACACAATTTATATTTGAAATTTTTCACTATTCATGGTATTGTTCACGGTACTATTCAGATCGTATAGTATTGTTCATAAATAAGTAGTTTTTCAAGTTTTTATAATGAAGCATAATTTAATATAATATTATTGTATTTTCTTAAAATGAGTTCAAATATTTTGATATTTTATAAGAATATCATTTTAGAAAGTCAATGTGACATCTCGGACTTGTACTCGGATCGGATACGGGTTGGGGTGTTACAGGAAAATATAATCGTTCATGATTTGTAGAACATGGAATCTATTGTTTACTGTATGAATCGATTATTGGGATATTGTTTGGGTAGGATTCTGGAGTATAGAGGTTCAACTCTAATCAAACTTCTAATTCCTTACGGACCTAAGGTATTCCTTGGGTATGCTCTAAGGCCCCAAGACACTCTCTTAATATGGGGACTGTATTTCGGTGTACGGAGGGAGGGCATTCATGTGATTTAAATAACTATATTGTCATTTTTACAACATTCTACTGGATCATGATTTTGATATTAAAGTTACTGCTCAATATGATTTCCACTGGATATTGTATGGGTAGGAGTATGGAGTACGAAAGTTCATCTCTGATCAAGTTAGTAAATCCTTACGAACCTAAAGAGACAATTGGGTAGGCCAATAGGCCCCAAGGTAATCTCTTAGGGTGGCTCCTTTGTTGTGTGCTTAGGGTAAGTCTTTATAGATGCAGTTATGGGGAAATTGCATATCAGTGTTCAGTTGGAGGGTATTATTATGGTTTTAAAATATATTTTAAATTACTCATGTTTTTAAAGGATCTGTATACATTTATATGTTTTGTTGGAACACACTAGACTTCCCAATTCAATATTATGAATCTGTCTCTCTCTGAATACTTCCTTCAGACCGTAAATTCCTGTTTATAACTAAAGACTTAACTAATGAAATATGAAATCACCGATAGAATCTGATGGCGTCCGTCCCACTGAAGACTTAACTGAATTTTTCAAAGCTCACTCTGTTACTTACCATTGCAGGTTAAAGAGTTTGATCATGTGCTTTTATTGTCATCAGCAAAGGAGTTCCACCCGAATTGCTTGCGGAAATACAATGCATGTAATTAGAGAGCTTGTAGTTTGTATTCTATTTTTATATTCGAGTCTGAAACTTACTTTATTATTGGATTCTATTTTTAATATATAATTAATTTTTGAACTTGTATTTTATTTATAGATTATCTTACAATTTTAAATAGATGATCAAAATTTTAAATTTTCCAAGATTTTCAATCTGGGTCACTCCAGTGTCCCTAATGTGACACTCCGGATCAAATCAAATCACCTGTATCGGTATGAGGGTGTTACACGATCAACAGTGACATGAAAAAAAGAGAGAAAAATATTTAAGAAATGCTATTAGCCTAAAAGGATATCGTGAAGAGATCTCACATTCAATGTCCCTTGTATTTTCTAAGGCCTTGCTGTAGGGGTTGATAGTAAAATATGCATTTACTTTAGAAACAGTATATGAAGTGGCACTGTCATGACTTATTTGTTATCGTCTCACCACTTACAACACGATTATGGTAATGAATAAGAATAAGTAGCACATGGAGACTGCAATCTGCCAGTTGATTTCTAGAGCCTTCATTATTTGAACTGACCAAATAATTGAATGCCAACAATACATGGTTTGCTGCAACCATAGCATACATGTTATCATAAACATACTCCAACAAAAGTTTCATGTGGTACTGGGCTCAGTATTAATAAAAGCATCAAGTAAAAGACCATGCCAACAGCAGAATCAACTCTTTGTAGAACACCCAGTTGACTTTCTTCAGAAAAAAATTTAGAATAAGCAGCACTACTAGATGGAAGATGTAACACCCCAACCCGTACCCGACCCGGATACGAGTCTGAAATGTCACATTGACTTTTTAAAACAATATTCTTACAAAATAACAGAACATTTGGACTTATATTAAGAAAATACGATAATATACTGTTGAATTATGTTTCACTATAACAAATTTAAGGTAAAAATGTTTTTATGAATAGTACTATACTGTATGAATAATATCGATATTGTTTAAATAGTACATTGAACAGTAATGACCAATGCTATAGTGTACCGATGCACTTGCTAAAGTGTAGATGCACAAAATCATCGAATTTAAAATGTGTATCGATGCACTGCTACAGTGTACCGATGCACTGCTACAGTGTACCGATGCACTGCTACAGTGTACCGATACACTGCTACAGTAATTTCGGTCAAACATATATAAAACTCATAAAAACTTAAACTTTTATCACTATAAAGTTACCATTTACCTAAATACGTTTAAAACATTATCAAACTCGATCAGAGCATACATACTTATCGACTTTGTTTACATGCCAACCTATTTATTACAGATCAAGACATACTGTGTAATTTACTTCTGATCTGATCTTTGAGCAGAGATATGTTGTTCCTTTGAACTTAGTTTTGATCCTCCTGCTTTTTAGTACCTACGTGTAAATCACTTACACACTAAGTCATAGACTTAGTGAGGCATAATGATAATGTCATAATGATATGAAATGTAATGAAATCACATATTTAATCCATGCAAATTACATAACCTTGTATCTTACTCATAATCTGATCAAATTAAACATCATGAATTCATATAATAAGTTCACTAGCCCATGATAACATACTGAGAACCTGAGGTATGTGAGTACTGTGAGGTTGTGCACTATGCTTTCACCACAACTTGTATAAATCGCACTGAAATGCCACGTAGAATTGCACCGTAGTGCCATATAAATTGTCCATAAGGACTACATAGAAATTCATTAAGAATCATATACATATACTAAAAATCAAGTAGGTGTCTCAAAATACCTCATACATGTTCCAAAGAATACATATATGTCCCGAAGGACCACGTAGAATTGTCCCGAAGGACCGCGTAAACCCTCTACTCTTGGCATGCCAACTATACCTATAGTTCTCATCTACATAACATGGGATTTCACAATTCACATTGTTTATATCTCGTTGACATGTACATTCTTACATTTATCACATAGCTCGTGTAACTTTTCAAACATATTCAATTAGAATATTGTCACATAATGCATATAATATGAATTCATGTCATGTATCATAATATGGAATGTAATCATGTATCAAAGTATTGAATATAGACTTATCACAAGTCTAGAACTGAATATACTATTATATTCATGTTATACATATGCACTCACCTATATTTCCTTGTCTTTCCCTCGATCAATCTTACTTGTCACTTGTTCCGGAACTCGTTTAGGCTTTGTATCTACATAAATATAATTTTCAAGATGATTATCAGAAGCCTAAACCTTATACTTCGATGTTATTAACTTAAATTAATTTAATAAGCCAAATTCCTAATTTCCTTTAGGAGTGTACCGATGCACTATGGGTGTATCGGTACACAAATTAGGTTCAAAATTCTCATGCATCGAAACACCCCTTAATGTATCGATGCACCTTCAAAATTGGTCCTAGTGAATCAGTACCCATTCATAGTGTACCGATGCACCCTGCCCAGACTTTTTCACCCGAAAATTCATCAACTCTTCACTAAATTTTCTCATATAAAACCCCTTTCATACCACTAAACTCAACTACAACCATTTTAACTAACTTTCATCATTCCAACAATTTATTATCTCCCATATATCATTCAGATTCTTAAAACTAAGAATCTTACTAAATTTTCCATGTAATCCAAATTTATTTCTAACACTTACAACTTCTTATTCACACATATGACAAGTCAAATTCAACTTCTAAATTCATTTATACATCCTTATTCAAAATATCACTTATCCACTTCTTAGCTTTAATCCTTCATAACTTACAAATCTTTGATTTCTATGACCTTTTTCATCTCCATCATGTTTCCTAAATCTTCCTTAATCAAAATCATACTTTAATCTTAAGGACTAACCAAAAGAAATTCAACTTACCTTGGCTTGGGTGCTTCACGTTGGAGGAGAAGAAGATGAAGAATAAATATTTGGAAACATTGTTTCCCAAAACATGCTCCACATGGGTATTAAAATACTCAATAATTATTATTTAATTATTTTCTTTGTTCAATGACCTATTTGCCTTTTGACTCTCTCTTCATTTACTAAACTATCCTATATAAAATATTTCAATTAATTCCTTCATCTTTTCAATTTATCAAATATTGTCACTAAATTTTTAAAATTTCACACTTTGGTCACTAACCTGGTATTGAGGATGTTACAGAAGACGTCACATTATGTAACTGAGAAGCAATCTGCAAACTACCAAATTAACCAACAAACTTTTCATGCCAAGGTTTTAACTTATAACCTGAGACATTGCAGCATCAAGAAAAGGGTTTACATCTTTTGGCCCTGGGGTTGGACCAGAAAGAAGTTGAGTTGACATCGCAACAAGCATGAAGTTGAGCAACTCCTGGTGTATAAGGGACGTCGTAGGAATTGCGAGGAAAATAGTGTAATATTAGGAGAAAATTAGGCAGAAATGCCAATGTAAAAAAATGCATTATTAAACCCTGGTGTACCTTACATTTATTGTACCAATAAAGGTAAGCACATTATGCATTACAAGATTCTCAATCTTTTGATCTGCACATTAGAAATAAAAATCAGGTCATGACGTAATTCATCGGTAAGTAACAACTTGTCAAGATACTTATTTACAAACTTCAATTCCAAAACTCACGAACAGATAAGGATGAAGAGCCAAATAGTTACAGATTTACCAGTCAGGAAATCCTTAGGCACCGATTCATTTTCATGAAGAGACAAGCGTAACTCCTTCATGTTGTCAGTCTATGAATTCTCAACTATGTACTTTAAAAAACAGATGAAATATACACTGCATTAATGGCCTTCAAATAAACAGGAGATGGAGCACCAGATGTTAGAATTGCCTCTTGTAAACACCATGAAAGGTGAATCAAAATCTTTGCAAGGTGCCTGGTGTGGTGGTTGTTTAGAGCTACACATGAAGGATCCACCACAAATAGACAAAGTAAGCATGATTGTGAGTATTGGAAACAAAACGAATGTTCTTCAATTAGTAACCGTGTACTTTAAAAGAGAAAAAAGCCGCTAGGAGTTATAATTTTAGAAAATGCCTCTCATAACTTTAGCGTTGAAGTTGGAAATTGATCAATTCACGCAGCTTTGTTTTGTTAAGTTTGGAAGTTGAGTACAGCTCTACATTAACCTTTGGCAGGTAGGGCTGTAAAAAGTTGACCCAACCTGCAAAACTGACTGAAACCGACCCGAGTAAAAATTGTTTTTGACCTGTACTGTGACGATCTGAAACCGACTCAAGTCAAAACTGGTGTTGACCTGAACCCGATTTGGACCTGGAAATTGTGGATCCGAACCCGACCTGCATCCGACCTGAACTCGAATGGAACCGAAAATATGATACCCGAACTCGAACTGCATCCGACTGATATGAACCCGAACCCGAGATTGACCTGGTAAATAACTGGTATTACCCGACCTGTTTTCAACCTGACTTGTTTTCAACTTGACATGTTTTTAACCTGACCTGTTTTTAACCTAACCTGTTTTTAACCTGACCTGTAAATGATCCGACTTGTTAATGATCTGATCTGATATTTACCTGACTTATATATTACCATGAAAATCTTATAAATTATCAGTTTTTTAGCTTATGATGTAATTAAAATATTAATATGATTACTTTTTAAATATTATAATAAAATATTTATTATGATACTTATATTAATAAATAGACATATTATATAAAATTATTTAAATGTAAATTAGATAAAACATTATTAATAATGCAAAAGGAAAATTAATATAGTTTAATTTATATAAATTATATATTTTAATTTATATAAAGAAAAAATAATATTAATAATAAAAGTATTTATTATGTAACATATATTAATCGTTTACATTAATAATATAAATAATTTTGGCAATAAAATAATAATTAAATTAATAATAACTGAATGTTAATATTAAACATGATTAATAAATAAATTGATAATAGCTGAATATTAATTAAATTATGAGCATCACACAACAATATTTACAATCACTAAATTAAATTTAAATATTATCTTATTGTACTTGATTTTATTAAATTATATTAATTAAGTTAAAATATTCATAAATCTAATTTACTTTTAATGTGAAAATTAATTAATAATTTAAGTATAACTTAACTTGAAATTTTAAAATAAAAATATATTAATTAAAATAATGAACTTATTAAATATTTGAAATTTGAATAACATTACAAATACTAAAACAAAAAAATTATAAATGAAATTAATTTTATTATACTCGAAAACACTAAAATTACAATAAAATCAACTAAACAAAACAAATTTATGTTGAAATAAATGCTCTCAAATCTTATAGCTAAAGTTTTACAAGGCTAAAAGCATGACTATATTATCAGAAATATCATCATCGAGCCTTTATAC